CCTAACATTCTTAATAATTATCAAGGTTTCATTTATTTTGCAGATGCTCAATAACATTCCAACTTTAAGACAATTACTTTTTCAGCACTCTCATTATAAGATTCTACCTTTGATAAACACTTCCAATCTTTAATCTCAGGATCATGCAACTGATCTCTTTCTGTCTACTTCAAGATCTCAATTACGACATCTTTTGGATCTATAGAATAATTTTCCTTTCCAATAGCATATGGTGGAAACCACTGCAAAGTGATTAATTGCTCCATCATACCAGATTTGCCACATAACTTTATGATGACAACTCCAAAAGCATACATGTGCAAGAGCCAAATCAACACCAGCTTTTTTCTGCTTGACGGAGGTTCCACTATGTATAACACTTCAGCTTCAGGTCCCAGCCCTACATCTCCATCTTTAATCTCATCCAAATTGATGGTTATTGAATCAGGGTACCGTATTTTGACATAACTTCTAGAATGGATCAAACTTGTCAACATGTCTTTCAATCTGCTGAACTATGAATTGTCAATCTTGTAGTCATCAGAGGAACCAATTAGATTCATGTAGGCGTGATAGAAATCAACTGGATTAATGCTGGATTCCCGGTTGCTCGAGGTAATGGAAAAGACCAGATGGAGAATTCGGTAACCCTCATCTTCAACCTACCAGTCTTTGGAGCATCAACTTGCAGCTCCTTCAGTTCTTTATTAAAACTGAACTCTAGGATTCTAAGAGATTGAATTGAAAACTTGATACTATTTAAAAGACCACAACTACTATCTGTTGGAATCTTCAATAATAATGTGTTTCACAAAAAAAAAAGACCACAACTACTGATTTTCAACTCCTCAATGTTTGGAAACTTAATCCTAAGATTGTCGAAAAACTATTCATGATGCCAATACAAGAGAAACTTAAACACTTAAGATTTTGAGAAAGTGACCAATAGAAGCTTATATGGCATTTTATGAGCCTCACAAGTAAAGGATTTCAAATTTGGTGCATCAATTTCAATGCTCTAGGACTGATCATCAGGCTTAATAGAAAATTGTTTGAGTTTTAGAAGGCTGTTTAGATGAATATTGCATAAAAACCCACACCACACAATATCTAGATTTTCAATTAGCCTGCAGCTTGCTATTATCTTCCTAAGTATCTCATTGCATAACTTGATATTATTGAGAATTAGTCACCTAGGATTGCCACCCATTATACCTTCCACAAAGAACATATTTTCAAGGAATTTTGTCTCAAGAACTGTATGAGGGAATATATATGAGCCGAACATAAAGAGATCAAGCATTTTTAAGCCATTAGCTGCAGCAACTTTTTATGTATTTGTCCATAAATCAATGATTAGAGGATTGATTCTCAAGATCCATTCGAAGCTTGAATGTGTTTATGGCATTGTTTTTCTCAATGTAATTTAGCAAAATCTTGTTCACACAATTCAAGAACATATGCTTGCATTTTTTTTAATTGAAATGCAACACTGGGCATGTCTATCATGCATTTAGCCATGCCTTGGACAATAATGTCTATCTTTAGGTGTGAGAAAATTCGAGAGTATACATTGTGTAATTTTTTCTGGCAACTTCGATATGCCTTCATCTTCTTCTTTCTTGGCTAGCTGCAATCTTTGCCATTGATAAAATCAATAAGATCCTAATGAAATTCCTCAAGTTGAAAGATCGTTGGGAATTGAGATGAAAAAATATGTATTTATGATTTCATATGAGTCAATTGGGATCCTAAGTTGATTGGGAAACAAAACATTGGACTTGATAAGTATAATTATATAAATGGTTTTGGAATCAAAATTGTGAATAGGCAAATCTTAGTCCAAAACTAAGAGATGACACGCTTGGTGCCTTATCAAAAACTAGATAGGATTAATAGTTATTAGTGTAGGATCGTTGAATTAGAAAAATTTGTCAAGAGCAAAAATACACAAAAATATTGTATCGATGGGTACTACAAGAATGAAGATGAAATATTGTTAGGAAAGAATTTCATCATGAACGGATCAAACATCCTTGCCAAAAGTTTTTAGCAAGAAAATAAGGCCTCTCACCCCATTGCAGCTAGAGGATCGCTGCAAATTGTATGTGACGAGGATTTGGTACATATTCTTGCTAAAAAGATCTAACTTTTGCAATAAATGGTAGTTGTCTTCAATTTTTGTGGACATTTTAGCAAGTAAAATTTTCTTGCTAAAGTTTGAAGAGTCTTGTTGCGATTGATAGTCCATCCTTGCAAATATATGTTGTTTTAGTACGAATAAAAATGTTTTTCTCGCTAGTAATTTCATTGACAAAAGTATCCTATCTCGCTAGCAACACTCTTTTTTTTTGTCGATACGATAGAATTCCTATAACCTAAACTAACCTATTATAGGGGGGAGGGGAAGGACACTTAATGTGAGTAGAAACTCCATCGAAACTGGTCAATGAAGACCGTTACATATTATGATAAATTTTGTGGGAGACAAGGTTCGAACCCTTGACCTCCCGCACCACCAAACCTAAGAAGGCTTGGGATGACCACTGCTTGCTAGCAACACTCCATTGGTGAGGAATTATGCCTTGCAAATACTACAGGATACTTGCAAGGAAACTTTTTACAGCAATTTTCTTTTAGCTAATAACATGTTACTTATTTTCCTAGCATCAAGTGCATTTTATAAATAACCTTGAGCGTTTGTCAATAAAACAAGTAGGTCAAATCCATATCCTCAATACTATGGTCAAATAATCTAATCTAGTACATAAAAAATCTCTATAAAAAAGCATATAAAAAGCAAAAGGGTGTGCTACTCCTTATGAACAAATTCACTGCACTTTGATTCCAGGTGTTACTGATTGATCCCTTGCCAATCTACAACAAAAAGAATAGAATGACTATTAGGTATACTTGCAAATATTAGAGCACTTTATCACACATACCGAATAAAAAACTCAAAAAATTGATCAACTTATTCATTTGGAATTAACAAAATGCAATTAAAAGAAAGAGGGTCATATTACATTGACTAATGCATGACAAATGTATTCTAAGTTCAAACATGTATATAACCTAAAGCTAATAAAAAACTTCAAGTAAATAATTAGCAAAGACAACAACTCATGTACATTCATTTCTTGAACATTTGCATGACTAAACGCCTTTTGTGCATGCCTACTAACAATCACAAGTCAATACTTTATGAGTTAATTTTATGTACCTTACTAGTGTATACACTATCATAGTTGAATATATAATATATACATAAAATTTGAATTTCAAACTCAATTTTAGATTAGTTATTATGCATTCAATTATTATAGTATTTATACTATCAGTGCATAAAAAATTAAATCATATATTATATGCTCATAAAAGAACAGGTACAAGACATCATCAAACTCAAAGTGCTAGAGCATATAAAGATATTTTGGGTAGTTACATGTGTACACGTTAAATTAAAAACTTGAAAATATTCGAACACAAAGGCCCATGGAGCCTATGCATAGGTTGTGGGTAAAAAACAAACCAAGAAGAATGCATATGCTGGTTGTTCATAGAATCTAAATTTTGGATTGCATTTTTTCTAAATTTTTTGTAGAAAAATTACTGTAACGATTTGATATATGTGAGATAAAAATGTGATTTGAAAATATGTTCACAGAAAACGTAGTAATTTTTGAAAAATTACTGTCCAAACAAGGCCTAAATATTTTATTGTCATTTCAAAGTTTCAACTTCTTTCTTGGCTCTGCTGATTCGCAAGTAGTCAGGTATGGACTGCGTAGCTGTTTTCCATCGACTTCAAGGCCACATAAGTAAACCCACTACCATTTCCGAGAGTTGAGTGATTAGGTGCCAAAATAACGAATTAAGAGCGTCATATGTTCAATTTTGTCCGGTTAGAACCAATTCATGTAATTATTACATCTACTGTAACTTCATATTTTTTTAGTGTAATCGCCACTATATGAGTTAACAAATACAAATTTATACTAAATTTATACAAGTTTATACAAATAATTGTAAGATTTAGCAATGATGGGGTTTTTGTTTTTGTTCTTTTACAGATACAAAATAAAACAAGTGTTCTATTTCTATAAAAGAACATAACAAAAACACATGTTTGTTTATTTACATTGGTTTAAAAATGAAAAAATAAATTCATGTTGTCTTTCTTTGTTCTTTCCCTAGCAAACACCAAAGCCATGAAGTACAACTGCGTCAATTACTATTTTGGGTAGGCATGCGTCAGTCACCATTCCCAATCTTTAAACGTTTTCTTTAATCAAACTTTTTAGAAAGGAACTAATAATTTGCCCCACATACTTGAAAAAAATTGCCTCGGACCATTAAAATTCCAACAAGAGAGCGTGATACTTTAAGCCATGTAATTCAAAAGTTTCCAACCAAAAAGGTTATCAATCCCCATAATGTAGTAGAAAAACAAGTAGCTAAGGTTGTTCACTTACAGATTTAAAGGTCTTGATGCATTTTTTTTTAACCTCGTCTCCCATCCTTCTAACACCTTCTGCATCCTCAATTATTAGGTATAGAATTTAAACTCTCAATCTAATATTAGAAAAAATTTTAATAAACCTTCCTCGGTCACTGGATTATTGACCACTAGATTAACACCGATCGTTACAAATATCCGTCATCGCTATCCACTTTCTACATCCTACATTTTCTTTCTTTTTTTTTTTCTGTTATAAAAGGGAATTCCTTTCTTATTAAGCTTCCAATTTTACCTCTTAAATATTCTAAACTAGGGCCCAAGATTTGTTTGTGATATGGACAATGGTAGATTAATTAACCCAAATAAAAAAAGTTCTGAGTACTCGTTTCTGCATAAAATTTATATTAAAATGTAAATGCGTTATTCGTCCTATTGCATCTAGAAAAATTTAACCCCGACTTATTTCGTCATTTTCGTTGGTGTCTTTGAAAAATTCCCAAAGGATAAAAGCCTCTGGTAATTAAAAGCCAAAACAAGAAAAAACACTTTAAAAGAAAAATTAAACCCTTCTTCATCATCTTGAAAACCCCTGAATACCTCGAAGCCCTAGAATTCACACAGACTCACACATAGTTGCTGCTTGTTCTCCGTAATTTCATCTTCAATGCCCAACTTCCAGTCGTTTTAGAGCTGAGTTTTCCATTCTTGGAGAAGGAAAATGTCTCTCCCGCCTGTGGATTGCTTTTACATAACAGAAGAATCCGTTAAAGAATTGAAGAATGGGAATTCCAGTTTCAAATTTCCCAATTCTGTCCCTGTTCTCCGCTTCCTCTACGAGCTCTGTTGGACCCTGGTACTTAAAGATTTGATAGAATTAATTATTGAGCTTTTGTATTTATTTTTACGAACTTTTTGGTTTTGGGAAATTTCTAGGTTCGAGGGGAGTTGCCATTTCAGAAGTGTAAAGCGGCGTTGGAAGCGGTGGAGTTCACTGACTGTGTTTCGGAGGAAGAAATGGGGTCAAATTTCGCGGATGTTGTCACCCAACTGGCTCAAGATGTGAGTTTTAAGCATTTCTCGACATACTGTTTGCTATTTGTGCAAATATTTGAGTCCTATTTGATTTTCCCTATATTAACTTCTTTCTTAATGTATTTCAAGTCATGCTTGCTTTTTTCAGTAGCGTGTAGTTGGGGAACTTAAGTTTAGACTAAGCGATTTTCCTTTGTATTACTACTAAGTTTGGTACTGATCATCGATGTGTGTATCTTTGTCCGTGTGATTGTGTTTTTGAGTGTTGCGATAAACAGAAGTTTGGTGCCTCTACTCGTTTTAGATTGAATATGAGGGGTGGTGGCATGTTGGTTAAGTTGTTATAAATGAAGCCAAAATGTTTGGAGGACTGGCATTTTCTCCTCATTGAAAGGGACATATTTTGCGAATTAACAGTTTCTTCGATCTTTTTGAGTTATATTGGATGAAACTAGTAGAAGGCAAGGCATCTGGGTCAGTTCAATTGTGGGGATTTTAGGATGTCTTATCCAGGCTGTAATTGTTGGAATGTTAGTCATTTGTCTTGGTACTTAATTAAGTGTTCCGAATTTGAATTTGTGCCAGTGATACTGTAACTAATGTCCTTGTTGTGCTACAGATTTTCATTTCAAACTTATGGAAATAGTTAAGTGATCTACAAGCACTTTTTGGAGGATAACAATTTTCTTTCTTTGCACGCTCAATGTCATTTCTCTCTCTCTCTTTTACTGTGTTGTCTAAAATGACCGATTGATAGCTTTTTTCTTATTCTAGAAGCCATTTCGATGTGTTCGCCTTGCTTTTGACTCTTGCTTCTATCTTGACTTGAGCAGAAAAAGCTGATTCTGAAAGAGAAACCATTGATGTGCTGCTTGAAACTGTAATGACAAAAGCTTGCTTGCAATTTTTTAATAGTCCTTGCATTTTTTAAACATTGCTTGAGGTGCATTTGGTTCTGATTTTAGCATGGCTAATGCTAACCTGACATTTGTTTGTTTCAAATACCAAAAAGTGTGAATTCACAGCTAATAACATTGATTCAGTTGGCATTGACATAATAGGAATATTTCGTCTATAAAGAAGGATTCCCCGAATACCTGAAATAGAGATGATCATAGAAAATGTAAAATATTTGATAACTGAAATTACAGGAATGCAATCCAAACCCTAGAACGTTGAACCACAAGTTTCTGGTTCTATGACACTAATACAGCCTAAGCTAAATCTTTAGAGACTACTAGAAAATTGATAAATCTGTCTTATTTTGGAAGACTTCAAGCACCTTTGTTGGTTCTTTGAATGTACACCATTAGGTATTAATGCTGCAGACTGCACAGTAATATATTGGAATTTCTGTGTTACATACTGCAGTTACTGCTTTTCTTGATTTCAAGATATTGTTGTGGTTGTAGCTTGTTAGCATGCTTTCTCAATAGATTGTATTGATATGTTCTGCGTTTGCGTGTGATGCAGCTAACAATGCCGGGAGAGTACCGCTTGCGGCTTATAAAGCTGGTGAGTACAGATGCGGTCTGAAGTATCATATCTTGATCTCATGAGTGGCCTGTTTGAATAGGGTTGAATTCATTTGGCTTTAATATTCTTTTCCAGTAAGCAGACATACTTTACTTTCTTTAGATTATGTAGAGGTGTCATTTGCAACCAAATTATGTTAACCCACTCAAACCCGCCCATTAACTTTGAATGGGTCTAAATGGGTACCAATTAAACCCATTTAATTGGTGGGTAGTGGGTTGACTAGGTTCACCCATTATACCCATTTAAAAATAATTATATATTTAAACTCAATATTTAGTGCTGGCTAGGCAGATAAACTTGAATTTCCTACAAATCTAATAACAAAAAAATGCTGTTATTTGTTGTCAAACAACATGCAAAAAAATTGAAAGAATAAGTAGAATTTTAAGTGAGTCATAAATGTTAATTGAGTATACTCTTACCCATTTATTAAATGTCCATTTATGCCCATTTATTTAAATGGATGTAAATGGGTTGACCCAATTATACCCATTACCCAATTATGGCCCGCCCAAACCTGCCCGAGTCACCCATTTTGACACCGGTAAGATTATGGAAGGGGTATATTCCTCTTAGTGCACAAATGGTGAACCTTCTTACAATCTGAAGATTGGTTTATTGCGACCGAGGAGGTTATGAGTTTAATATATGCCTAATGTCTTTAATCTTTATGCTGCTAGGGACAAGGTTGAGTTGTCTGCTCCGAGTACATACTATAAGCAGTAGCTTTGCAATCCTGCCAGTTTCCCTTTATGCCTACATTCTTTTATGGATAAAGAAATCATGAAAAGGAAGAGAATTGCAGAAACACATTGATGGCAGACCCAAAAAGAGAGAGTTCTTACTAATTTAACCTAATCCTGAACAAGTTCATAAAAATATCCGTTCATGCTTAATTTTGAGGTTTTGCCATAAATGGTATGAATTTTTTTTTTGGCATTATATGACTGCAGTGTTTGAACTTCTGTAAAGAAAAATTGTTTTACTTCCATTTGCTGTTGTCTATTTGACACATGTGAACTAGGTCCTAGCGTGACTATCAATCTTATTATCTATGAATGATGCTCTCTATTTTTTGCACATTCTAAGTGTAATTACATCCTTTTTTTGCCCCCTATGATAAGATAGATGTGTTGTAGGTTAAAGTTTCCATTAAACTTTTGATGTTTCTCTGATTAATTTGCTAAATATTGGCTAACAGTGTGGGCCTTCAGCAACTGTTTATGTTGGATAGAGTATTAAATTTTGTCTGTAGCCATCAGAGCTGTGTTCTTGTACTCATGTTTTTTTTGCCAGCATTGGAACTAGAGGAGCTAGTTAGTCTGGGGTTTGTCGATGCTGATTACATTTGTTTGTGGATTTCTTCTTTTAATTCCTGTGCTTCCTAGGCCCCTCAATGCAGCTCTTTTCTCTGAGCAACTTGTGTGCTGATTATCTTGATAATTGATGACCTTAAAGGATGGGAAAAGAAGTATCAATCAACCCATCATCACTAATGTTTTGAATATATCAGGAATCTTGTAATGTTCAATCTTACCTGTTTTGGTCCATTTTATCCTGGCAAAGCTTGGTTTTGCCATCCTTTAAACTGTCTTTTCTGTCGATTAGTTTTGACCTTCTGAGGAGAATGTTATCCTCAATTCTGTTTTTAAGTTTCTTTTTATTCCTTGAAGAAACACTAGACTTAGGAATTGTTGTTGACCAGGGACTGTTGTAGTGTTTGGATGGAAGAATAAATTCAGATGCAGAGCGTCTTTTGTTCCATGTTATTCTGAAGCCTCTCTGTTTTTAATTGAGAAAAATGAAATTTTATATGCTTGTTAGCATGGAGGTGAATTTTCGGAGCTGGTAGTACCAGATTGTGTTCTGTTTCAAATATCTTCTATCCTCACCTATATTTATTTTATTTACAATTTCTGTTAGGATTCCTTGGTTACTTTTGGGCTACTTTATGTTAACTATTACACATTTGCAATAACTTTATAACATACTGAGAATGTTAGAAGCATCTTAAGGTGGTTGTTACCCACAGAAATCACTGGCCTTGGATAATAAATTGGGAGAATATTTGATGCCCAAGCCTCTTCCACTCTGAATTGATGAATCCATTTTAGTTTCCAAGTGCTTTTGCATTTGACTGTTGGTTATGTTGATTTTTATTTTGGTTTCTTCTGGGGCTCATATGCCTAGTATGCATATGAGTTCTGCCTTCTTGGAACCTGTTGCTTATGCTTTACTTTTGCTGGAATCTATGTTGTGATACGGAAAATAAGCCTATGCTTGATCTGTATATACTAGAATATTTTTCTTGTACTGAGGTTTTTTTAAGTGGTAAGATGACCTATGAAATCCAGATAAAAATTATGCTCAAATAGGAGGCTATTTCCTATCAGATTGATATATGAAAGGAAATGATACCCATAGCAAGGATTATATTTTCTTGAAGGACTTCTATTCCATTCCAACTCAGTACCCAAATGATTGCCTGATGGCTTTGCCTCCTGGTTTTTTAGCTCTTGGGGGCTCTGCAGATCTTTCCTTATCATAGCACGCAAAGTATTGCCAGTATTAACTGCCTTTTGAGACATTCTTTTTCCTGGGCATGACTATTCTCAGTTGTGAGTTGTGGCATCTTTAATGGCTTCCAACCGTTCAAGTGTTTGGATGCTTATTTACTGGGTAACAGCAGGTGATTAGTATTGTACTATCCTTGTATTTATACCAGCCTCCCTTTTGCTAAAAAGCTTTAGCAGGTAGAATTCAGTCCAGCTTGTACACCAAGTGAAAAAAGCAATTTGTTGTTTATGTCCTTGTTCTAGAATGCCCTTGTGGAGACACTTCAGTAAAACTCAGCAAAATGGCACCTCTTTTTCCTTTCCTAATTTATCTTAGTATACAATTCTTTCTGAAACTGACCATATGTAAGAAGAATATTTACATCTTTGAGAAATTCAAAGAAACTAAGAACATAAATATTGATGCTTTTAAGATCAAGTTCTCATTTTACGGTTGTGGCATATATTTAAGTTTGAAGTTCTGTTTTTGAAGATGTTTCGGTCTATTGAGTTGATGATATTTTATTGTTTTCATGTCAGTTTTTGTTTAGTTATTAATTGTGGATTTTTTAATGGTTTCTTTTTAGGCAAAATGGCTGGTGGAATCTGCATTGGTACCATTAAGATTTTTCCAAGAGCGTTGTGAGGTCCCTTTTTATAATTGCTTTCTTCTTAGTATTCAATATAAATCAAGAATTGGGCTTGTATGAGAAAGCAAACTAAAGTCTTCTTCATGTGTTGTAGGAAGAATTTTTGTGGGAGTCTGAAATGATCAAGATAAAGGCTACAGATCTGAAATCAAAAGAGGTGAGTGCCACTTTTGCCATATGACTAGATCTCTTTCTAGTTACTAAAAGGAAATTTGAAAGATATTATTATGGATTCTAGTTTTTGAAACTTTCATTTTTTCCTGGGAGTACAATTGGGGTGATCTGCACCTCATGAGTTTGGTTGGTCTTCTTACATATTTCCTCATATCCTTTTTTATGGATTTAGGTCAGAGTAAACACTCGACTTCTTTACCAGCAAACAAAATTTAATCTTCTCAGAGAAGAGAGCGAGGGATATGCAAAGCTGGTATTCTTCTATATACATTCCTTCTTATTTCTTTTCCTGCCACACTATGTACATCTCTTCACTTGGAATTAAACAGATCTTCAACGTGACAGTTAGAGTCCAGAGGAAGTCGATGGCTGTTCTCTACTTTTAGTTGTCTTGCTTTGCCGACACTTGGAATTTCTAACTCGTGTGTATAAATATTAGTAACGATATGTACAGAAGGTGTTACTAGTGGCTTTAAAAAATGTCTAAAGATGGTGATTGCGTGGGACTATGTCTCCTGTTTGGTGAAAATTTTGTTTGAACCCAATGGTTATTTGTTTTGCAATGTCCCTAAGTCATGGTTTGTTAGTTTGAATAGTAGAGTTTTATTCCAACATGTCAAAAGTTCCCCCACTATATGGACTAATATTACTTGACTTAGCCTACGTGGTATGTCTGAATTAGGTTAATGTCATGATTGTTCAAAAAAGGGCTCCGTTTGGATTAGCTGTTTTTGGGGGTGTTTTTGAAAAACTTTGCTGTAGCAGAGTTTTTAGAGTATATTTTGAAATATTTTTAGAAAATATTTTGGAATATTTTTTATTGGCACTTTATTTTGAGATATTTGGTAAAATTTTAAAAAATTTTAAATTAATTTTTAGATTATCTTTTAGAGTACTTTGTTATAACTTTTATTGTTTTTGAAAAACTTGTTTTTGAAAAAATAGTCAATCCAAACTTATTTTAGTGTTGTTTTTTGAGTAGTGTATGTATTGCACTGTAAAATTCATACTTATGTTTCCTAGTGAAAGTCTAAACAACAAAATCGGAGGCCAGTATTTCTTCTGTATGTCATGTATGTTCCTTAAAATACAGATGTGTTCAGAGTTTACATACTCAGCTTTGCCTATTTTTTCTGTTATGCCTTGTTGTATTACTGTAGCCTGTTTATCACTTGCTAGGACATTACACATTCTTTGTCAGATTTGACATGGAATTATTTTAATCAGACTTCCTTTTTCTTTTCAAGCATTCTGCTTTCTTGCTTCTGAGGATTTTAGTGTTTTGAATATATGTTAAGTGCAGACAAGAACTCTAATAACCATTCTACTTTTTAAGATGTCATTAGATAAAGATCAAGTTTGAATTCTGGAATCTAATGCTGATTGCTGAGTTTCATTGAATATACTCCTTTAATTGTTTTAATCTTCACACCAAATTTGTCAACAATAATGGATAATGCTTCTTTGAAATACTATGCATTTGTCAGGTGTAAGGTCGGTTTGTTCATTTTTATTTATTTAGTGTGGAAACTCATTTTTTCTTTTATTTCCTCCTTTGATTGATTTTGCGTTATTATGCAACTGTTTTAACTAATTTACTACTTTCACATTCTAAATTAAAGTTGCTGTGTATAGGCTACTCTTCTTTGTCAAATTCCAGAAACTTCAACTGAAAATGGGTCAGCGGCTCTAGTGGGTAACATTAAGGTTGGAACCTGCTCGTGAGTTTCTTCTAATTGATTTATTTTGCTTTTCTGAATTTCTAAAGTAATTAATCACATGCAGTCGCTGATTGGACACTTTGATCTGGATCCAAACCGTGTGTTTGACATTGTGAGTCAAGTGGGATTTTGTACTGAATATAATCGTTATTGTTATCTTCTTTACCTTTCTTTTTTAGTTATTTATTAGCATTTATTTAATCTGTAGGTCTTAGAATCCTTTGAACTTCAGCCTGATAACAATGTGTTCTTGGAGCTTATTCCAATTTTTCCCAAGGTGTGGGGCTTTTCGAATTACCTTTCTTTTACTATAATCGTTTCTGATATCATTTAATGCTGCAAATTCCTTTTTCTATTTGAATTTGAAATATCTACAAGTTTTTGGGGGCAGTATTTCTGTTATGTAAATGCTCATTCAATATGGCTGTTCTATTGCTTTGCAGTCTCATGCCTCTCAAATCCTGGGTTTCAAGTTCCAATATTACCAGCGTTTAGAAGTCAATTATCCAGTACCAACTGGGCTTTATCACCTGACAGCTTTGTTGGTTAAGAAAGACTTCATTGATATTGATAGCATGTAAGCTTTTTATCTGTGTTTTGAATATTGGTTTGCTTGGCCATGCTGATGGTAACTATTAGCTTGCATGCATGTATGTTGCATTTGTACTGCTTTTTCATGTATACTAGCTTATTGTCCCATCCATTCACCAGCCTTGGAATTCTGCATTTCACAGTTCTTTTCAGTCTTCTCAGTCTTCCTTCCCACCTGGTTTTGTGTGTGATTGTGGTACCCTTTGATTTTAAAAGCTGCCTCTTGTCACCTTGTGTTTGGACTCGAGGATATTTAGATGTGAACCTAACAAAGTTTTCAACATGTGATTCAAATCTCAGATTTTCTTTTAAAACATATGAGTAATCATTGTATTTTAATTGGTTTCCAGTGTTTGACTTATGGTGGGTATAGTTGCCATAGTGGCACTTAATATTTGCAAAATGCAATTGACGTATTTTACCTGGCTTCAGAAAACAAAGTTTTGTTTCTCTAATATTACTCAATCGTTACCCATCAAAGCTTCTTATTTTAGTGCCTTCAAGTCAAATGTTATTGTTTGAGGTGTAAAATATAGTATTACTAGCGGAGGGTTGGGGAAACTTTATTATTATTTTTTTAAATATACTTTTGAGATATGCATTTGAGATTTTCATGGAACCTAATTCTTTGACCACGTTTCTATGTTGGTCAATGCATCCAGCAAGGTGACTGGCATTATTTAAATAATAGATTATTGCAGTGTTGTCCACTTCAAACATTTTGTACATTAGCTGTAACTTGCTGGGCAATCTAGAATTCTGAGTGAAATGAAATTACTTATCAGCGTTGGTCCTGGCTGACTAACTTTAGTGTGACGGACTGCAAAATGACCTTTGTATTCAGTCCACTTGCTCATCTAGCTGGACGCATGAAAAATGAGGCACCAAGGTTATCTTAGGCCTCGAACCTCTGATGTTTGAATCAGCAAACGACTATGAAAACGTAGAATTGAAGTAATAAATTATACACATGATATCTGGAGTACCTTCTGTAAATTTGTGGGTAGTGTTAAATTTATAGGATAAGAGATATTTGTCAAAGGAGTTGTGTTTCCTATGCTAATCCCGATCCCCATTGAGGTTATCTGTTTTATTTCCTTCATAAGGTATAACTCGTGGAATTTCCCTCATTAGGGGGAGTCCCTTGTTGTGTGAATCCCCTTTAGGGAGTCCCAGTTTGAGCTCCTAAGTGAATCCGAAGTGTTTTCATTCTGTGCTTCTGAAACACCCTAGGAGGATCTTTGATGCTTACTAGACAACTCCTCTTTATTACTAATTGTTATACAGAAAGCATATAATTACATGAAGTTCTGATTATACAAAGCATATAATTACAAAAAGCATATGATTGCATGAAGTTCTGATTTCTGCTTAGAACCATATTTATTTCTCTGACCCTGGTGAGTATGACAATTAATATAAGTTGGAGATTGGAAATGAGAGATCTGTGTATAATTCTTATTAAATGCAACAAGGATGCGGCCTATTTTATTTGTCCTGAGCAATATTTGGTTGTGCCAAATGACAGGTTTTCATTTTTTTCCCCTTGTTTTTCTGCGTTTGGTAACCTAGACTAAGACATCCTTGTTTGCTACGGTAATTTCCATTCTATAGTCTTAGTATGATGTATTTTCTTGTGATTCATTTATTCATAGTTGTTGTAACTGGCCAACACCTACTCATTCTAGTGGGTCGAGCATCTTTGTTTTGGTTTGTTGTTTTAACCTGACTAAACTGTGCACTTGTTTCAGATATTCTCATTTACTACCCGATGATGAGGAGGCATTTGACAGTTATAATACTTTTTCTGCTAGGAGACTCGATGAGGTAGTTTTCCAATACAATTTCTGGGAATCATTTTTCGTTTTTGAGTGAGTTATCTCAAGTAGGTATTGTGGTTTATATACAGTTTTAATGAAAATCAAATTTGGAAAGTACCATGATATTTTGTTTATATGCTTCCATCGGTCCCTTGTCATCTATCTTTTTGGAATAAACAGCATCCGAATTGATGTTGATTTTCTTTTCCTGTTTTGATGTTTTACAGTTCCATATTTACATCCATTAGTTTTTAGTTCATGAGTATTCGTTGATGCAATGCCAAATTTGTGTGATAGTTTATGAAATGGATTTCTTTTTGGGGAAGGGGTAGGGGGAAGATTGTTAGTAAAGAATTTGAACTCTTATCTTTTGACATTTACCCATCAATTTAAAAAAAATGATGTCTTCTGTTTTGACATTTATGTAGCATGGGGGTGCTTTAAAACAGGCTTATATTTTGACATCTATATGGCATGGGGGTGCTTTGAAACAGGCTAATAAAATTGGAAAGATAAATCTTGCTGCTACTGGAAAGGATCTTATGGATGAAGATAAACAAGGTGATGTGACAGTCGATCTGTTTGCTACTTTAGACATTGAAAGAGAGGCAGTTGCTGAGCGATCCTCAGAGCTTGAAAACAGTCAGACTCTGGGCTTGCTAATGGGATTTCTGGCAGTTGATGACTGGTAATTTTAAGATTGTCGCCTGTTGTTGCTGTTGCAGATAACATTGCTCCCCTAGTTGGAGAATTTTTTCCAACATATGCATGGCTGCTTTTGTTGTGTGCTTGTGATGTGACCTAATTTTGCTGGTTTTATTTACTTTATCTGCTTGAGGTATATATGGAGTTTGAGTGTGTGTTTGTGTTCCATATTTGTTTCGTCATTCTCTTTCTCAATAAAGCTGTATGCTTTTTTTTATCAACTAAGTTATGTGATTCTGAAATATAGCTTGATCTTGTAGGTTAATGTGATTAACTTTTTATTCCCTTTTTTGGTGGCGTTTTTAGTCCTAAAGTGCCTCAGTTATTTGTTTAAAAAATGGGGATTTTAGCTATATGGGAATCTATTGCCAAATGATTTTGATAATGTCTTCTAAATGGTTTTTTATATATTTTTTTTCTTGGTCATGGGTCAAGTTTAGCTTGGGGCAATAGGGCCATTTGTTGGATTTCTAGAAGCTTTATATAAACTTTATTGAAGGTTTTGGTTAATTAATGAGACCCTGGTGATGTTGGATTACCTGAGCATGGTTTGTGTAATTTGGTACATGACACAGGAAATGAAGCCTGAAAATACGTATCCAGCTTTTACTTGTTATCACTTAAATTTGCAATTGGTTTAGCAGTAAATGATACTGTGGGCCCTTTTCTGCCTTTCTCTGTCTTTCTCTTGCTTCCTCACCATCCTCACCTGCCTTCTGCCACTACTTCACAACCTAGTAGGGCAGAGAGCTTGTAGAATGATCTACTCAGTTGAGAAGTGGCAAAATCATGAATTTCATTTACTTGCCTGGTTATATCAAATTATTTCAGAAGCATTAGTTGATCTAGCACTCTTTAAAAAGAAAATCTGTTTCGTTTCTTGACATTGTACCTCTAATTATATTAATGCAGAAAAACTCAGTTTCTGATATTTATTTGTCTTTGATATCTTCTATATGTGTCCTATTGACATTTTGACTTTAAGCAAGTCAATATTTTTGGTAGCTACAGAGATATCAAACTTTGTGTTGTATGTCTCCTCTGTTGAGCTTTGGAAGAGTGTTGAAGGCAAGTTTAGTCTTTTATGAACTGACATTGTAAATTTGTTCTCCAGGTATCATGCTCATATGTTGTTTGAACGTCTCGCAAGACTTAACCCAGTGGAGCATGTTCAGATCTGTGATGGTCTGTTTAGGTAAATAACTAATATCTCGGGATATATAGATTGGAGTTAAATTTGATGCTGTACTTTTATTGTCTTTTCTCTTGTTTTCTGTGGTTGGTTTTCTTTGATTTCATTTTGGCCGAGTAGTCTGCTGCTTCGTTTGTTGTATGAGACATTTATGCTCTTTGGATCGAGAATCTATCTTAACCTTGCATTTCTTTATTCAGGCTCATTGAGAAATCAATATCTGCAGCATATGAGGTGGTCTGCAAAATGCGACTTGTTAGTTATAGTACCTCTGCTGGTGCTGGTACTGACTTGATGGAGGCTACAAGTACGTCAGTCAGTAGATCTTTCATTGACCTTCCTAAGGAGCTCTTTGAGATGCTTGTGTCTGCTGGACCTTATTTGTATCGGGATACTTTATTGCTGCAGAAGGTAGTGTTTGTTAGGTTGCTGTTATTTTTTCTTGTTGGTTGTTTTTGCAGTAAGCACAGGATTAACTTTTGGCTTATCCAAGCAGGTCTGCAGAGTGCTGAGAGGCTATTATCTTTGTGCACTTGAACTTTGCAGTAATAATGATGCACCTTTCAATTCTCATACTGCTGTTATTAGTGGTAACCGGACTCCTCGTCTCCACCTGAAGGATGCTAGGTTGAGGATTGAGGAAGCACTTGGAATATGCCTACTTCCTTCCCTACAGTTGATACCTGCAAATCCTGCGGTCGGCCAGGAGATTTGGGAACTGTTGAGTCTCCTTCCTTATGAGGCACGATATCGATTATATGGTGAATGGGAAAAAGACGACGAGAAACTTCCGATGATTTTGGCTGCGAGGCAAACAGCAAAGGTGCAAGTTCATCATACTTGGGAATGAATTGCATTAATCTTTTCATGTTATATAAACTTGTATAAATTTGGTTATTTCGGTGTTTTAGTTGGACACGAGGAGGATCTTAAAACGCCTTGCAAAAGAAAACCTGAAACAACTTGGAAGAATGGTTGCAAAATTAGCTCATGCAAATCCAATGACAGTGCTTCGGACAATTGTTCATCAGGTTGTGTATTTTGCTACAAAGTTTCTTATTGCACTCAATTGAAGATTTTGGGTCTGAAGATGTCTTTGAATTTTATTTTTTTTTGTCATTTTTTGGTGCAGATAGAGGCCTATAGAGATATGATTACTCCTGTTGTGGATGCATTTAAATACCTGACTCAGGTGTGGCTTCTGCTGGATATTTATGTTTATCTTGATTTGAGTTCAACATCTCCTTTCAATTGGTCTCGTATGTTTGCAATAAACTTAATTGCTTAGACTTCTCAAAGAATATATATGCTGTAACTTAGCTGCCCTGCGTGAGTTTATGATGTGAATAACTCATGCAGCTCATTCATTTTGCACAAATAACCTTAATCTACTATTCCATGCCTTGTACTATATTGCATGTAAACTATATTGAACAGGCTAATTGAATAGTTATTTGAGAATATTTGCTTCCACTTTAAGCAATCTAATTTTCGACCTTCGCTTCAGATTCTGTGTCTAAATTTTTATGTTTGTTTCAAGATAGGTTGTGCATTGAAAACTTTAGTTGACAGGATAGCTTGTGCAGTGTTTCCCCTGGGCTTAAGTTGTAACATGTAGGAACTTGTGAATAATTCGTGTGACAATTGATAATCCCAAAGTTTCTGGTAACTATTAATTGAGAGGGGAGTACATGTGATTTGTCCTGGATAGCTTGTGCAGTGTTTCCCCTGGGCTTAAGTTGTAACATGTAGGAACTTGTGAATAATTCATGTGACAATTGATAATCCCAAAATTTCTGGTGATTATTAATTGAGAGGGGAGTACATGTGATTTGTCCTGGATTGCATTTTCATGGGCAATATGGTGTACTTTGTTTTCTGGTTAGTGTGATAGTAAGTTGTGACAGAAGCTTGATATGCAAGGTACATAAACAAGTAAAAATTCTTAATGACAATTGCCTATCCTACTAAGTTTGTGACAAAAATACGAGCTTGATAAGCAATGAGCATAAACAAGTAAAATTTCTTAATGATAATTGCACAAACAACTACTGGATGCTTTTCTTACATAGCATACTATGCTGCCTTTCTGTGCCTAGAGTATGGTAGTTTATATCTAACTCTGCATTGGGTGATAGTCATCACTCAATGTTGTATCATCTGTTTGTAACTTAAATTTGTTCAGCTGAAACCTGATCAGCAATTGTACTTCATATGGAGAAAAGACAAAATAATTTCGTTTGTAATTTTACCTTTATGCCTTCATTTGAAATCTCCTGTAGATGTGCTTTCCATGGGCATGCATGTGTACATGTACACCTTCTCAAATGGCTAGTCTGAATTCCACACAATTAGCACAATCAACTTAAAGAAAGTGTACATATGATAGACATTTGCAATTCAGTGTAATTTTCTGTAGTTAACCATTTGACTGAAAAATGTGTGTCCAACTATCATGTCTTGAAGCACTTTATGTAGTGATTGCAAAAGATTAAAGTTTATTCAAGTTGGTTAGAGCTGTCTTTACAGTGTGCAAACACACTGTTGAATTCCTCTTGCTTGATGCGTATAGAAGTTTGTGTGAGACAAAAAAAGTGCTCTGATGAGCACTTACATGGTTTTGTGCATAGAAGTGACAAAGCAAAGTCTTGTTGGAATGCGGTGTCTTCTTGGCATGGTCTTATTGTTTGATATGTTCATGGTCTACTTTAATTTCAATAAGGAGATGGCTAGAATTAATACAAGTTTTTTTTTTGGGGGGGGGGTGTTTGAAGATGGTTTAAGGGGATAATGTGTATTTAACTTTTTGATTCATTGTCATTTTCTATTGATCTAGTTCTTTATAATTTGTAATGTGCTTAATGCTGGCTCATTGTCTGCTTTAACAGCTTGAGTATGACATTCTGGAATATGTTGTTATTGAACGTTTGGCGCAAGCTGGCCGTGAGAAGCTAAAGGACGATGGCCTTAATTTATCAGATTGGCTTCAATCATTGGCATCATTTTGGGGTCACTTGTATGTTTTCTTCTCTCCCCTTGTATTACTCTGTTATGGATTCTTTATGTTTGCAGTATACTTATTTATTATCTTATGTTTTCTTGAGCGTGACAATCATTCACTGTTAGCGTCATCTTTTATTTTATATTTGTGAAGTTATAGAATATAATTTCAAATCTGTTGCAACTATAGTTCATCAAGAGGCCTTGGTTCTGAATCAACTGTTGTTTAGCATCCTTTTCTATTTCTTCCACAGAGTCAAGAAACAGAAATGGTGGTTGAATCATTTTCCTTCTGCTATGTCCTCCCTTTTTATTTTTTTCCCTTTATTTTCCTTCCAGTTTGGCTTGGGTGGCACAGGGTTATTGCTTGGTGGTGAATAATGCTCATTGAGAAATTTTGGTTCAGGAACTGGTATAGCTTTTGCTGTAACTGCATTGCGCACTTACTCCTTTCCACAGAATTTAGACCCATGGGATGGTTTACCCAATTTATTGGGTTGCAGATTGACCTTTGATGAACCTGTGTGATCTGGAGCTTTGAGGCAATGCAACAGATTAGGCAGTGCTTATGAGGTTGGGGAAAGGACTGAGAGGCACAATGTGACAGATTAGGCAGTGCTCATGAGGTTGGGGAAAGGACTGAGAGGCACAGTTGTTATGGCAGCATTTTTATGTTTATATTCTTTTTCACTTCCGAAGTGCAACCTACGTTACCTTTATGGGGGTTGAGATCTTAGCAAAGCCAGGTGGGGGAGTCTCCATGGTATATGTCGACACTTTAGATGTTTTGCAGATGAAGACAAACTGTTGAATTTACCATTTAAAGATCGTTGCTCATGGATGTCTGGTGGAGATAATAGTTGCTACCCCTAGATGCGCACACAGCTTTCTGGTGTAGTGTCCTTTAAGTGCTCAAGAAGTTGTTTGACTGGCAGAACACAGTCATGTGCAAAAAAAAATAATCATGCAAGTTTATTTTCGAAGAATGGTGTTGGATTTTTAGGCACTTGTTTGTTGTGGTTATTGATGAATGCATAGTAGCTGTTTTGGATGCTGCCTATGCTCCTCATCTGGTGGATTTCAAAATCTAGTATTTTGCTTTGGTAGATTCTGATCTACAATTGAATTTAGTTTAATGATGCAAGATCGATCATGCACCCTGAAAGCAAAAACTTGGTTCATTTGGTTGAGGAGTGACACTGGGTGGTTGCTGGATGTTAATATTCTTTAAGTATATCTCTTTACTGACAAGAAGGTTTACAGTTGTAAGGCCCTATCTGACAGGACATTATAGTTTTTTGTTCTATAAGAAGGGAAAAGTCAAAATGCTTACTTGGTGATTGTAGTTTTGGTGGCAAAGTCGAAGGCATTTGTTAGTCTCTGAGTTTAATTTGATGACATCCTGTGGTAAATACTGCGTTCCAGTATTGAAATGGAAAGGCATGCCTCATACGTGGCTTCAGCATCTGCCTAGCTTCAATGTCTAGAGCTCATTTATGAAGAGGTCAATTTTCTAGCTTTGATGCTCCAAAGCTTCAGGGCAAAAGCTTTTCATGGTCTCATCCATCACAACTGCGAACGTGCTTTTTCAGCTCAAGTTTTACAATGTTTTTGATTTGAAAGGCATGAAAAAATTTAACTTACTATTTTGAAATAAGTAATCACTTCATTTATTGGTGTTAGGGTTGTCTTGCGTCACCAAAGAAACGCTTTCTGCAAGAAAACTAGGTGGTTTAACTTATTTATAGGTTTTTTAGTTGCATGCGAAAAAAATTTAAGGATCCTGAGCTGGGCTTAATTGTTTGACATATTTTTGGTCATCTCTGAGTTACATTTGAAACAAAAATAGAGATGTAGGCAGGTTAAGCTTACTTGTTTAATATCTTTTTGTTGATTGCTTATTTCTATCGACATATTGAATCTATCTTCTAGTTGTGTCATCTTAAATTATTCAAAGACGGTAGTTCATCTAATTTGGTTACTTGCTCTATGTATTCATCGGGTTGCTTGTAAGGGATATCATTTTCCATGGCCATAGAATTAGGCGGAGGAGGACCATAGTTTCTTTCTACCTAGTCAACCTACAATTCATCAACTAATTCTGTGGCATCATGTAGGACTCTGGAGCGGCCTTACCCAAAAACATAAAGGAATAGGCTCTTGAATGTTAAAGCATTTTTTTTGTGGACCAAAACTTGCGGCTGCACGCTTATCCTTGTTACTTTTGTATGAGGCCTTTTGTTTACCCTGGAGTACTATGTTAGCTAATGTGTGGAAATAACCTAAATGCATATATGAGCCTTGTGTGAATTAATTTTCTGAAAGCAATTTCTTTGTTCCTGTGAAACTAAAACCATATTGCAAGAGCAGCTTATGCTGCTTCAAACTCTAATTTTATGTATTCTAAGGTTTACCAACATAACACGGCTCCTAAGAGGTTACCTTTCTGACATTCTTTATGTAGTTTGGGTTTTTCTTGCTTAGTGAGTCAAAATCAAATGGTACGAGTTTTGTTGACTTTACAGAAATCATAATATTTGATTGATTTTTTTTTTTTTGTCTAAGATTGAGAGGATTTCTTTAATATTGCTGCAACTTAGTTTATGTAATTTTTAATTCTTACTAAAGTTGTTTGTTTTGTCTCTTAGGTGTAAAAAGTACCCATCAATGGAACTCCGGGGTCTTTTCCAGTATCTAGTTAATCAGTTGAAGAAGGGGAACGGGATTGAGCTTGTTCTCCTTCAGGTGCTTTTCAGAATTAGTGGATTTTTCCTTCTATATCTAGTGACTTATTTCATTGCAATTATAGTTTAGGCTTTCTAAAATGGAGTTTGATGGATAATCTGCAGGAACTTATACAGCAGATGGCAAATGTTCAATACACTGAGAATATGACTGAGGAACAATTAGATGCCATGGCTGGAAGTGAGACTCTTCGGTATCAGGCTACTTCATTCGGAGTAACACGGAATAACAAGGTACACTGTAGTTTGTGTCATTGTTGTTCTTAATTTCGTATTTCTTGAGGGAAGAGTATCTTTGAAGTGGAACAAAATTTGAGAGGAATGTCTGCTTTATGTTTATAGTTTGAGCCTGAGATAGCCGACTGATTTTTGAATGGTAAATTTTAAGCCATGATTGGAACCATCTGATATTGGCTTTGTTCAACAGTTCACTAATGAGTTGGATATTTTAGCTTCTTGTTTTGGAGGCTTTGTATTTTTATTTATCATGAAGGTCAAAGGCACAACTCTGATTATTATTTTCAGTAGTTTGGATGTTTGTCAACTTAAAATAGCTAAACAGGATAGATATATCTAGCTTTAAACATAAAGCTATTGTCGCTTCTGCACATCTCCTGTCTGTGTGTGCATTTTTTTAGTTATTATACTTTGGTTTTCCTGCTCTTTTGATCTTTCTATTTCTTTTTTCTTATTTTGTCTTGAATTTAAGTAACTTTCTTCACTCTACCTTATTATTGATATAACATGCACAGAAAGTGGATATATTGCTATCAAAATAACCTGGTGGATGGTCAGCTTTCCTGATTATACTTTTAAGCAGCTATGGATAACTATTTTGTTTTTCGTTCTTTTAAGGGCATTTAGAAGTTTGTATTTCCTAAACTGCCATTTCATATGTTGCAAATGTAATGGAGTTGTATTTTCTTCTATGTTTAAGTACTGGTGTTTTTGTGGTAACAACTGAAATTCTCTGGACTATAGTTCCTTTGCCTAACTGGCTTCGCTTTTCAATTTTTGCAGGCCTTAGTCAAGTCAACTAATAGGTTGAGAGATGCTTTGCTTCCCAGGGAAGAGCCAAAGTTGGCAGTTCCGCTTTTGCTACTTATTGCACAACATCGTGCAGTGTAAGCTGCTAGACTTTTGTTTATATGGGTTGTAACTGGAAAAACAACATTTTAGCTGCCATGCTGCTGTAGATGGTACTTATAGTTGCACTTGATTTTTTATTTTATTTTTTGAATTTTAAAAATTTTTACTCTTGATGAGCACTGCAAATTTCTTCTAGGGTAATTCTGGTTTATTTTCCACTTACCTTCTTGTATCCCTTTTCCAATTCCCCCAGGTCTATTTATCGTGTCGACTTCTTGGTTGGTTTGGGGTCAGTAAATTGACGGGGTCCTGAAACTGACTGTTAAAATTAGTTCTCTATAGTTCCTGATTACTCTGATGGGTTTATTAGCAATGCATACTGATTTTATTGTACCAAGCATGATTATTTCCTGCCGAAATGGTTATGCTTTTTGTTGTAAAATATTTCTTTGCAGGGTTGTCATAGATGCTGCTGTACCTCATATTAAAATGGTTAGTGAGCAGTTTGATAGGTGCCACGGAACCCTTCTACAGTATGTGGAATTTCTCTCTGGTGCAGTGACTCCAACATCAGCTTATGCTCTTCTGGTTCCCACTCTTAATGAGCTTGTGCACCTCTACCATCTTGATCCTGAGGTTTTCCCCGTTGGCTTTTCCTTTTATAATTCAATTCAGTCTGTATGAGGTCTTGAATGCTATTTTCCTTAATGGCATTTGTGATTTTTGTTTCGGGATCAGGTGGCCTTTTTAATTTATAGGCCTGTAATGAGATTGTTCCGGTGCCACAACCACTTGGAATCTTCCTGGCCATTAGATTGCAATGATGCAGTCACTGGTACCTCTGCTGACAAGGAGTCTGGAACTGCAGACGCTTCCTCCTCTTTACTTCTGAATCTTGATTCTTCCCGCAAACCTATTTCGTAATGTTCTTCAACCTTTTTTTTTTTGTTTCTTTTGTTTTGTGTATTCTCTGTACAAGTTGTAAAACTGGAGAATATTATACCATCCTGTAGGGAAGTTGCAGGATTGTAATGTCTGTTAAATTTGTGGTTGCTAAACAACCTCGCCAAGTTATTGACATTAATGGTGTTCAAGTAATCAATATAGAGAGGAGATATTAACAATATAGATGTAAAGAGATTTTGTTCCTAAAACATGTTCTTGAGTTGGTTAAGAGATTTTATCTAATATGGAGTTCATATACTTCTGAGACTATACTTTTAGCATTTTTCTTATATCATTTGCGTAATTAAGTTCTTGTTGACTATTAAATGCAGGTGGTCTGATCTTCTTGATACAATCAGAACAATGTTGCCTTCTAAAGCCTGGAATAGCTTGTCTCCAGACCTCTATGCGACATTTTGGGGTCTTACACTTTATGATCTTTATGTTCCTAGAAATCGTTACCAGTCTGAAATTGCTAAGCAGCATGCTGCTCTTAAAGCTCTGGAAGAACTTTCTGATAATTCCAGTTCTGCAATCACCAAACGGAAGAAAGACAAAGAGAGAATCCAGGAGTCTTTAGATCGGTTGACAATGGAACTCCAGAAGCATGAAGAACATGTTGCATGTGTTCGTAGGCGCCTAACTCGTGAAAAAGATACATGGTTGAGTTCCTGTCCGGACACTTTAAAGATAAACATGGAGTTTCTTCAGCGCTGTATATTCCCTCGTTGTACATTTAGCATGCCTGATGCTGTATACTGTGCCATGTTTGTAAATACTTTGCACTCCCTGGGCACACCATTTTTCAATACCGTTAATCACATAGATGTTCTCATATGTAAAACACTGCAACCAATGATTTGTTGCTGTACTGAGTATGAAGTGGGTCGACTAGGGAAGTTTTTGTACGAGACATTAAAGACTGCTTACTTTTGGAAGGTAGACAGTCCTTGTCTTTACTAGATACCTGAGCAATTTCTTATCAGTTAATTTTTTGTTTTTCTCGTGCCTCAGAACTATTGAATTTTGTGCATTGATGAAATTCTTCTCTTTCCTAGAGTGATGAATCGATATATGAACGCGAGTGTGGAAACATGCCTGGATTTGCTGTTTATTACAGATATCCGAACAGCCAGCGTGTTACTTATAGCCAATTTATCAAGGTCAGATCAAATGTTACATGCATGGTGTTTGTTTCTTGTGTGTACTAAATTCTCTTTTCCTTTCTGTCTTACTGATTACCGATTAATACCACCATGATTTGATTTGGAGAATATGAATGTTTTTGATTATTTTTAGTAGTACCATTAACTGTTGCAGTGAAATTGGCAGTTGATGTTGAGTCTTCATAAATTGCTTTCGAGTATCAGACCCAGTTAAATGCTTTCTGTCCTTATTTGGCATTTCCTGACTGTTAAGACTGATTTTCCTCATGTTAACTCGGTACCTTTTACTGACATTTTGTATGTCTACATGTTGCTTTTCTCTGCTTATTTGGTATGCTTCCTTTCCTTCATTTGTCATTTTTGACATTATTGTTTTCTCAGTATCCTGCTACTATCGTGCACAACTACATACAGACATTTTATAATGGATGTGGAAAAACAAGTTTAAATTGCATGTTAGATGAAATATACATTTTAAATATTAGTTTGTCTGAAGGACCTTGCTAATGGATAACTGGGCTTACTGATTGCATGAAGGTACATTGGAAGTGGAGTCAGAGGATCACAAGGCTACTCATCCAGTGCTTGGAATCAACGGAGTACATGGAAATTCGAAATGCTCTTATCATGCTGACCAAAATTTCAAGTGTTTTTCCTGTGACTCGAAAGAGTGGTATCAATCTTGAAAAGCGGGTAAAACTATCAGCTTTTATGCAGCATTTTTTTTTATAAGTTTCTTGTTGGGGTTTGAACAATTGCTTCTGTGGTGCAGGTAGCTAAAATTAAAGGTGATGAAAGGGAGGATCTCAAGGTATTGGCTACAGGTGTTGCTGCTGCTTTGGCTGCTAGAAAGGTAAATTTTTAACTTTTTTTTACAGGTTTTAGATGTGTCTTCTTGGTTGCTTTTGGAGTCAGCATAGAAACATTGGGATAAGTACTATTTCTTGCTCTAGATTGGCTGCCTAACTTGTCTTTGTTTTTTTTTTTAAATTATTTTTTGGGGTGCATTTGGGCAGTCTTCGTGGGTTACAGATGAAGAATTTGGCATGGGTTACCTTGACCTGAAGCCTGCAGCAGTTGCTACTTCAAAGTCTTTAGGTATAAATTCAGTTGGTGTACAAAATGGTGCAGGCCAACATGTTTCTGTGGCTGAACCTGCTGTAGGGAGAAGTGTTACTGCAGGGAATGTACATTCAGATTATAGTAATTCCATCAAAGATCTAAGAACAAGACCTGCTGATGGAAGGATAACAGAGAGTGCTGCACTAAAATCTGATTCAGGATCTGCAAGAGCCAAAGGTGGTTCATTAGTGAATGGCTCTGAACATCACTCCTCTGTGCCATCTGCTGCTGTACACAGTGGGACATCCAGGTCAACTGAAATCCTAAAACAACTAGATGAATCAAATAATAGGTCTTCCGAGGATATCACAAAAATGGCTGTGAAGATGTCCACTGAACCCGAGGTATAGCATAACTTATTACAATGGCATTCAATAGGCACCTGAATTGCTGGACTAGCACAGTTTCTTATTATTCATGTTTTTATTGTCATCATAATGATTAATGTCATGTTGGTTAGATTTTTATTTATTATGACTCAGTACTCTTACATATGTTAATAGATATTGAGATGGTAACTGGGTGAAATAGAATTGATAGATTATGATGTCTCATGTTATTAGACCATTTGGATTTGGACTTCAGTTTGCTTGACTTATTTGTATATGTTTGGTTAAATACCTTTTGGTGAATGATTGTTATCTGGGGCTTTCGATGTCGGTGCTTTGTCCATATTATCCATATTCTGGCTTACTTCCACAGTAGATTCAATATGGTAGATTCAATGTAATGTGCCGCATATCTTTTTGCTGTTTATTTCAGGCTTTCATTCGTGATGTTATGACCGGTTGGCAGTCTTCTAGATGTGCACTTCTTGAAATTTAACTTGGAATTTAAGTAACTGGTTTATATGCTGAACTTATAGTATTAGGAGGATGCTGATTTATCCAATGTGGAATAATTGATTAGCTTTTGAATATCTGATGTCTATGCTAGTTTTGAATTTCATCTTTCAGTTGCCCGTGATTATTGTGGCTAAAAACAGCACTTGGTCCAAGACTGTTCATTTACCATTGGCAAACAGTCTCAACACCACTAGTACCTGCAAGTTTCTGTCTGTATTATTTTACAAATTGCTGTCTTAGCTACATGGTTGAAATTCCGCTTTTGAAACCCAAATTCCTAATTTATGGTTGGGAGAGGTCATGGAAGAAAACTAGTATATGGATCCAGCATATCGTTTATATTTCTGACATTCAGCTTAGAATCAATTAAGAAATTTCCTATATGACTGAAAATCTTATAATATTTTGAGAACTTGTTTGTAAAGCATTTTTGGTTCTGATAAAGATGGTTTGGTGCGGAATGGATTTAACTGGCTTTTTTAACAGTCTGGTGGGACGAGATATGTAACAAGAACTGTATTTTCTCTGATCTATCAATCAGCCATCATGTTCATTAGATGTTTGTGTGTGATATCGTTGTTCTAGAAGAAAATGGTGCAATTTCTTCTTCTAATTCATCCGAAATCACAGTGCTGGTGTGCTGGGCTTGCATTTCAACAGTATAACGATATTATGGGAGCTGAGCATAATTGATAACAAGCATCTTGTAAAATGAGATATTACTTCTTGTACTGGTTTGACACCTCTGGGCTATTGCTTCGTGTTAGAAGAAAATAATGTGATAAATTGTATGAGATCAGTTGTTCTGGTGAAGATTCTAGTAATTTGTTATTCTGTCGTCATGTTTGGTTTCAAAAAGCACCTTAATGTTCCAGCATTGCTTTTAACATTTTCGGTAGCTGCTTTATTCTGGTCTTCATACTTAATTTCTTCTCGCTGCAACGTGTGTTCCTCCTTGCAGGGAAGAGCTCCAGTTAAACGATCTGCTAATGCTGGGTCCCTCTCAAAACAACTAAAGCAGGATCATGGGAAGGACGATACTAAATCTGTAAAACCTGTTGGCAGAACTTCAAACACTAATGGCGACAGAGATCCATCTTCTCACATCTCTGAAGGCAAACAAAGTGGGACTGCTGGTGTTTCTTCTGCAATTTCTAGCAATAATAACATGGTTTCTGCCTCAAGTAAAGGGATTCCATCAACAAGATCTGCTGAACATGCCAGTGAATCCAAAATGGAGATTGCAAATGCCAGGTCAGCTGATTCCAAAGTTTCTGCTGTGAGAGATGATGCTGAAGCTTCAGATATGGTAAAATCTTCTAGATCATTGATTCATTCTCCCCGGCGAGATGGTGCTGCCCTGTCCTCCAAATCTGGTGATAAACCTCAAAAGAGGGCCAGCCCTGCTGAAGACGTGGATAGATTGAATAAGCGTCGGAAAGGAGAGACTGATTTCAGAGATCTAGATGGTGGTGATGTTCGAGTCTCTGAAAAGGAGAGGTCAATTGATGCCAGAGCAGGGGATAGACCACACCCAGTGGATGTGGAGAAGCCAGGAACTGATGAACAGATGACAAACAGATCCATAGATAAGTCTGTAGATCGATCAAAGGATAAAATCAGTGAAAGACATGACAGGGATAACAGGGATAGGTTGGAGCGTGTAGATAAACCTCGTGGGGATGATAATTTATCTGAAAAAAGAGATAGGTCAACTGAAAGATATGGAAGAGAACGCTCTGTTGAAAGAGCTCAAGAGAGAGGAGCTGCTGATAGGAACTCTGATAGACTATCTAAGGATGAAAGAAACAAAGATGATAGGAGCAAAGTGAGGTATGCAGAAACCTCGGTAGACAAATCCTATAATGAAGACCGCTTCCATGGGCAAAATTTACCTCCACCTCCACCATTGCCGCCTAACATGGTCCCACAATCAGTCAATGCAAACAGACGGGATGAGGATGCCGATAGACGATTTGGAACTGCTAGACATGCTCAGAGGCTTTCCCCTAGACATGAAGAGAGAGAGAGGAGAAGATCAGAAGAGAATGTTGTTCCACTACAAGATGATCCAAAGCGTAGGAGAGAGGATGAATTTCGAGATAGAAAACGTGAAGAACGAGATGGTGTCTTGATAAAGGTATTCATCATTGCTCGAGTACTCTATGAAACCTTGTAAAATACTACTGTTGATTGTTCTAGTGAAATTTTGGTTTTGTGTCCGCCATGACATGTAGTTGTTTTTGCTGAGAATTTGGAGGACTTTATCAAGGTGATGCAGCCAATAAAAAAAAAATTGGGGCTTTTCACTTCTCTAAGGAGTTTGCAGTTAAAGTGTGTGCGGGTGCCCTTTTGGCTGTATAGCTATGATAAATGCATCAGTGGTTTGAATAGTGGCAGGGATGCCTTGTCTCCATGGAAATTCTTTTCATATAATCGACTTTTTACAGATTTGAAGAGTTGCTTTCTAGCTTTTCATTTCTAGGACCGTTGCTATGGCTTTGGACTAATGGACTTGTCATAAATTTAGTCAGTGAAACTTGAGTGAGATGTAGTTCTCACAGACAAATTTACATTTTTGTCTTGTTTTGCCCATGAGGTGAGAGTTCCATAAGTATGGCAGCATGAATTCTTTTACCTCATTTTGTTGAGGATAATTCTATGAGCAAGTTGTGCTACCTCATGTCATCATGCTCTCTGTTAGTTTTGGTTACTATTTGTCCATTCTCTTTGTTTTACATCATCTAGAAAATTTTGGTCTTTGAGAAGAGTAGGTTTAGGAAGAGTTGCAGTTTCACCACTTACCATTCATGTACATTTAGATTTTATTTCTGCTTATTTTGCTTTTTCTACTAAGAATGAGGCTGACTGTCCTTCAATGTCCTACAGAACTAAAATTTGTGTTGATGACAATTCTTCAATGTCCTTTGGAGCTAATAGTTTTATTAGCATGCAACAGGAGTTTAATATGAAATTCTTGCCTGAAGTTGATCGGAATTTTTTGCTCGCGGACATGGAATTTGATTATATATTTCTGCTTCTTTTTCCTAGGTAGAGGAGAGGGATCGAGAAAGAGAAAGGGAGAAAGTGAGCCTTCTGAAGGAGGATATAGATTCAAATGCGAAAAGGCGAAAACTGAAAAGGGACCACATGCCATCAGAACCTGGTGAATATTTGCCAGCTGCTCCAGCTGCTCCCCTTGCAATAAATTTATCGCAACCATATGATGGAAGGGATAGGGCAGGAGACCGGAAGGGAGCTATGGTCCAACGCCCAGCGTACTTGGAGGAGCCAAGTTTGAGGATGCATGGCAAAGAAGCAGCCAGCAAGACAGCCCGTCGTGATACTGATCCGTAAGTTTCATTTGAGCATGCAATGCTTTGATTGATTCATCCAAAGCCACATGCAGTTTTCTCATGCTGTTGAGTTTGCTTTTCAATGTCATTCTCTGCCTGCCCTTCCCAAGGGGAGTTTTCTGTTTCAAGTGCCTTAGAACAAACGCTACTTCGGGGAGTTCGTAATAATTATTGGTTTATGAAATGAGCTGAGTTGGGGATTTTCAAATTTACTTGTAGCATGGTTGAAAGTCGGACCTTTGTCTTGTAGACTGATTTTTGTGTCTTTTTCCTGAACGTCTTGACTACATGTTTCAGGATGTATGACAGAGAGTGGGATGATGACAAGAGGCAGAGAGTTGAACCGAAAAGACGACATCGGAAATAATTTCGAGATTAGTGATATTTGCCAATCAAAATTTCCCAGGGTTGAGAATATCCATGAGCCTGCTGTTGGTGCTCAAGTCGCTGCCATGCTTAAACATGAGTGCCCGTATTATCATTTTTCCCCTAAACGAGCGGTTGCAGCATTTTCTGGCGTTGAGTTTCTAAGAATTCATCCAAAGCAAATTGTTTGGGTATATGATAGAATTGCTGATCTAGACTGTTGTAAGATGTGAATTTTGTGCTATGACCATAGGGGCTTTCGTTGTTTAGTAGTTATTTTTAGCCCAGTTGAGTTAATGTTAACTTGGATTAGTTTACTTTAATAGCTTTTCCTTTTGTAATTGGCCCATATTGTTAATATGTAATTAAATTTTGTAATGACCCTTCTTCAAAAACCTTTACTGTTGAATCTATCTTTGCCCTCTCGTTTGGTCCTTAATAATTCCAAACAAGGTCATGGATGACAGAAATGTCACTTGCATCAGAATTATTGGAAGACAAATTAAAGATTGTTCATTTCTCTACTTCGCATCTCCTTTCAAAAATGAAAGTGTAGTAATCTTCTTCTACATATTAAAAGCACGAGGTTGAATTAGTGGCTTGGTACATTAAATTTCGTATTACAACAATGCCCACAATTGAGGAAAATACTTGAGGACAGTTTTTTTTTTTTTTTAACAATATTGTACGTGAGAGGGTTCGAACTCTATACTTCTCATTTATATTTCCTCTTTTGAACCCTCAATCCATCCTCCTGTCTCCTCTCTTGAAGAAAAAATGGTTTAAAATTAAACATTATACGATATTGCATAAAATGAGTTCTTGCAAATAGATTTTAGAAATTAGTTGAAGCTACATTTAGAAGAAAATTTCTTGTCTTGCTAGATCAACTGGAACCCAATGTGATTCTTGAAGCCCTATGCTGTCAAAGCTGGCTTTAGAAAGAGCTCAATTTGGTAATTGCTTAAAGTTGACTTTCTAGAACTAAACTAAAGCTTACGAAAAATTAACCTTGAGATTATATTTGGTAATAGAACATTATTGACATAGATTTCATTATAGAAAAGCAATTGATTTGGAGCAAAACGTTGGTTTATTTATCTATCTAGCTGCCAGTAACAAATGTTTTAATTCTTTTATTTATTTATTTGTTAAAAGAAATTAAAAATTAAAGAAAAATCGTTCAAAATGTCCCTCACATAGTATAATATAACCTTTTTCGTCATTTCCTTTTAAAAGTATAATTTTACGTCATTTACAAATTCATATTAATTAAATTTAGTCCCTACTTAGGTTTTCGACTATTTTTTGGTCGGAATCAACTTGCCTTGCACTTGATCATTTTTTGAGGGGCAAAATTGTCAAATCACATTTCACATGATCCGATTCATAGTTCCTAACATTTTACAAGATGAATTTTTTCATTCCTTATATTTAAAAAAAAAAAATTTTCCATCCTTCATTGATCATGTGTATGGATAGTTTTTTCTTGTTTTTGAAAACCTATGTATTTGTCTATTTGATTTCACCTAAACAAGCTAATTGGAGTTGTAGGTGAAATTAAATAGAAATATATTACATGCTATTCGTACTACTCAAGTGAAATTAAATGGACATATATATACATGAGTTAAAAAAAAAACTATTCATACACATGATCAATAAGGAATGAAAAAATTATTTTGTGAAATGTGAGAAATGAAAAAATTCATTTTATGAAATGTGAGAAATGAAAAAATTCATTTGGTGAAATGTAAGAAACTATGGATCGGATTATATGAAATGTGATTTGATAATTTTGTCTCTCAAAAAATGATTACGTGCAAGACACGCGATGGATTTCACCTAAAAACTAGTCGAAAACCTCAATAGGGACCAAATTTAACCAATATAAATTTATAAAGGACGTAAGATTATACTTTTAAAAGTGAGGGGTAAAAAAAGTTATTTTGCAAAATATGAGAGACGCTTTGAACGATTTTCCCAAGATTAAATACGTCCTTATATTTTTTCAGAGATGTAGGGCACTTGATACAACCTTTTTTCCCATTATCTCTTTCATATTAATTGTGAAATTAAAACAAAAAAGAAATCAAAAGGAAAATACTACATGCAATGACATGTTATATAATGAAGCGGAATTTACTTGATAATTAATGCTTCAGCTATAACTAGATCACATATTTAAGTCATCAAGAGGATATGTGGAGAATCATCATGGATCCTCTCTATAAAAAATGCAATAGCAAGTTATTTATTGAGAGAAATTGATTGGAGAAGATTGCAATCATCAGCGAAAGAAGCAAGCATGGCATTTCTTACGTGCAATTTGAGTTGAAGACAAAAGGCTTGTAATGAAAAATGAAATTCAATCATGCTAGTGGATATAAATGTATCCTTTGTGACAAAACTCTTTGAGATGAGTTAGTATTTGCGTGTCACGACTATTCATTTGATGCAGTTCCATCTCAAAAAGTTGATTTGATAGTGTAATGAATAGATTATACTCCGTTCGTCCCATTGAAACTGTCATACTTTTCATTTTGATCTGTCCCAAAATGTTTGTCATATGCCTAAAATGGCATATGAATTTTTCTCATTCTTCTAACTTTATCTTTCAAGCACTACTTTTAAATATGTGAGTCTAGCACAAGTCGTCATAAGACCGGAACGTGTTTTAAAGTGCATAATTAGTATTAGTGAATGTTTGCTAGCGCGAGCAGTGCAACATAAGCAAAGAATTAGTGTAGCTTTAATAATATAGTAGGCCCAGATTGGTGACTTGTTTGCATAAATCATTTGAATAACTTCATCACACCACTTATTGGCAAAGTTTGGACAGTTTGGCGAGGACAATTTAAGATTCCTGAAAAGTGACAAACTTTTTGGGACGGAGAGAGTATGATTTAAGGGTTATAAAATTTTTATGCAATTATCTAAATTTTGACTTTCTTTAATCTAATTTATTACTCTTTGTTAAGGTGTTGAGCTTTTCAAAGCACCCTAAAAAATAACTATTCTTTGGCTAAAAGTAGCATAATCATTATTATATATAATTTAGCAATACATTTATCAAATTTGTCTACTATGCTGGGGCATGATCATTTAGGTCAGTTGAATTAATAGGAAGCATAATTAATACGTCTAAGATTAATTATGGAGTGCCAAAATCATTCCCAAATCAAAATATAAAAAGATGAATAGTGATGTGTCATATGAAGATGAATACATTTTCTTGGCTAATTTTTAATACAGAGTTTTACAATTCTAATTGTAAATCAAATTAATTCAGCCATTTCAATATAATAAACACGTACTGCTATTAAAAATAATTGTAATTAGCTTCAAACAATTATTAATCAGGCTAATTACTTTTGGAATATTTTCCCCTTATTGATCTTGAAAGTAAATCATTTGATGTATTTAACATAGAAGAAATGCAATTTATAGATTAATACATACATGTTTAATTGTTTATTGACTTAATAGAAAAAAAAATCACGGTGTTGCGAGTCAAAACTAACTCTTCTGAAGAATAAGCAACATTATTTTAAATCAACTAAATGAGGAGTTAATATCTATTTAGGAAAAGCAAAAGGAAGACAGGAAAAATCAATTTTAATTAATGGGCCTATATTACTAATAAATGGGTTCTATTTTAAATCAACAGGATGAACTTTGGCTTAAGTTTGCCATTTCATGGGTTTTTATTAGTTACTCAAATTAAAAAGTACGATTTTAATTATCAAATTTGTTGTGTTAGGATGCTCATATTTGGGTTATTCTAAGTGAAAATCTAAAGGAGTTTCAACTGTGGTTGAAGTTTTACTTTTACCACACCTATAAGTATGCTTATACAAGTATCTAGCCTCATACTTAGGATGAGTACTAATGAAAACAAGAAAGGTTGAAAAAATTAAAACAAACAATCATATATATATATATATACATACATACATACATACACATGCATACATACAATTATTAGTCAAATGGTTTGATTAAATATTTTTTGAGTTTTACATTTTCTCTATTGATATAAATGTAGGATATCAACACTTAACCGTGCATTTGAGGAATGTAGTCATACAAGAACCTAATCCATTAGTTGTTGTTCAAGCAAAAGATTGTGAACCCCTAATTAACCAAGTTTCAATTTGAGTTGGATGAGCACTTTTTGATTGGTATTGGAGTGTGAGTTTCTATCGTTTGATTTAACTTAAAGTTTGATTACGTAAGAATTTAACATAGGTTCTATCTCAATATATAGTTTTTTAAATGGCACTGCTGATGATTAATTTATCAAAAGAAAGAAAGAAAGAAAGAAAGTTCAAACAAATAAATAGAGCCTTTTACATGAAATTTAAAATTAAAAAAAAAAACACACACACACAAAATTTGGACTTTTTTCCTCATTCACTTTATTAATTTTCAACCAAAAAAAAAAAAAAATTACTGCTAAAAGTTACAAGATACGAGATACGCTACGCATGTTCTCTCTCAAGCTAGTCTCCAAAAAAAATGAGGCTGGTTGCCAATACTAGTTAATCCAATTTGTACGAGCGATAGAGCATCAAAGTCCCCATGGATATGTAGGATTAGCTGGAAATGGTACGTGATAGATAGGCATGCTATTGGTATGGAGAAAGGGATTCGCAGAAGAGGGCAGTACACAAGGTGTATACACTTGCATTTGCCAACCGTTCATCCGATCTGCATACCCCGGGTTTTCTGAAAGGTCTCCATATTGTTGTCCATATCCAGGACCATTTGGGAAGAAGACATTGCGTCTTGAATCAATGCATGAGGAAGGAAGTGAAGCTTCCAAAAGGGCTTCCCAACTGACATTGTTCTCAACATCTAATTGTATCAATGGTCCTATCTCCTTATCTTTCTGCAATGCCTTCTTCATTGTTTCTTCTTCGAGTTTCACTTGCTTATTTGTCGTTGCAGAGATCTCATCAATCTTGATTGGATGTTCATCAGCTTCATCGTCAGATATACTCGAGGGAGACTGGACGTTTGAGGTTAATTGAGACATTGTTGAAGACGACGACTCTGTTAACTGCCACATGCCGTTAAGGAAAGCTCCTAGAGCTCGAATCTGAATCAGTGGAATTCGATCAACAAAGGGAAACTCGTATGCTCCGCAAAATCCCATAGATTTGCTCCAATTATAGAATTCACTGAGATCATCTGCTTGAATAGCTGCTTTTTTGTAGATGTCAAATGCCTCAGCACAACTTCTATATGGTAACTGAATGAGATTGTCTAAGACCACAACAATCTGTTTTCGAAAAGTAGTGTAACACATAAAGCTATCACGGATTATGTTTTTCATGGTGGATTGAACAACGAAGTTTTTAGCAGCTGCCCCTGTTGGCCGGCAATCCATGACGCGATCGATGAGGCTTTGAAGTTGTGTCAGGACCTCAATCATCCTTCCAAGTTCTTTCATTTTATCAGGAAAGCTATCTGGCATATCATCTTCATCTGTTTCTGTGAATTCAATTGCTGAACAATCAATTGCTTCATCAAGAAGACGAGCATATGATCGTATAAAATCGGTGTAATCTTCTGCAGAAGAAGAGGAGAAATCCTGGAAATCACAAGGGTAAAGAGATATATATCTATTCGATCGAGCCCACAAGAGTTCTGCTCGAAAAGGGCTGTCCTCAGGCAGTGATCGCAGCAGACGGTGCAGTAGAACCAGGGATTTCAGTGCAACTCGCCAGCATTCTGTTTTTCTGAATCGACGATTAAAGCACAAAGCAAATTCCCGATAAGAAGTAGGCGAGATGGAAAAAATCTTCATGATCTCATGAATGTATTTCTCATTGAATGGTAAATCTTCGGGAGATGTAGCTTTTATAACCACATGATCAAGATCACAAAAGCCTCCAATGGTGGCAATCTTGGCACAGTTCACGCTAGTATGCTCCTTTACGGAGCATAAAACTTGCCTGATTCGCCGTTGCATTGTTGAAGATTGAGGAAGGAGAAGAATCAGGGAAGAAAAGCTGAGGAAGAGGAGGAATAATTAAAAAAAAAAAAAAGATATAGAGAGAAGCTTAAAAAATGAGAAAGTTGGGAGGTTTTACCTGTATTTTGTTTCCTGGAAAGTATTGGCTTGTGCCGGCCTGGTTTTGTTCGAGAAAGCAGGAGTTTTGATTTAGGTAATGGAACCTAAGGAATAACGAAATTGGCTGGAGGCAGTTATAAGTTTTGTACCACCTAAGAATTGTTGACATTTGGATCTCGGTGAGAACTAGGACTGATGTGATTCTTTTTGTCACCAGATAACTGGGATGAAGACTTCACAGGAAGAAAAAGATTACAGGTAAGTTTCCTTCATGTCTCTTGGTACACTAATTGGCCGGTGAAAATAAAGTATTCATAGAGCAATCTTGAGTATTGTACTAAGATTGAAAGACACATTTCAACCATGGTAAGAAACTGAGTAGAAGATTTGATGACTATGATATGCTAACTTTTCTTGTGGTCTGTCTGATTAATTAGTCTTTTTTTTTTTGGTTTTTTCTTTTAGGCCTGATTGATTAGTCTCGTTGAAGATAAACCCAAAATTCGTTATTTACAATACTTTAAAATAGGCCTATTTAAATCCACTTTTCAAGCCTGTTACTAATAAGTTTAGTGTCTTTACAAACTTGGAATTTGGATCACTTTGTTTCCCACTCGAAAATGAATTTTTGACATATGTGTCAGTATAATTCCCTGCCCTGAACTGAACGAGGTTTTGGTCAGTCTATTCTTGGATTATGGCATATCCAGCAACTTCACTCTATTTCTTTATCTGTTTTGTGCATGGAAAAATTACTGAAATTAGGAAAATATGATACAAGCAAGTGATTTTTTCTTTTTAATCTCAATTAGTAGATTCTTGGTTTTTGAAGTATCGATCATATAGGAGAATATTTTATAGTTTGAACTGTGTCAATATGTAGTATTTGGATGGTGCAAGAATGGTAAAAATTGTGACAAAATATCAAATTACTTATTCGTTACATCCACCATGAAAAGAATCCTTGAGGGTTTAAATTTCTAACATGAACCTTCAAAAGAATCAAAAAGCAAAAGTGAGTAATGTGGAATGATAGGGCATTATTTGTTTGCAATTTTATTATTAATTTCCCCTTTTGTTCGTATCAAATATTGTGTTAATTGTTGATATTTACTTATATTTGGTATCTAGACTTAATTCCAGAGAATGGAGCAGAAAACTACAAAAAGCAGGGACTTTTTGAAGCAAATTACTTCACAAGTGGGAGTCTTCTGCGAAGCTCCCTCAACGTGTCCCACAAGAGATCAAACAAACGGCTTCCCTTTTTAGCTGATGAAGAGAAGGCTGGTACAAGGAGTCCTAGGAACATTAGGAAACAAGGAGTAATTCGGCAGGCTTTTCTTTTGAGTTTGTTTGACTCTCAATCTCGACGGGGACCACGGGATAAGAGCATTTGGAGTCATCATTCCTTTTGGACTTTAAAATGAGAAAGAAACGTACAAGGCTTGTAAATTGGAATTGGACTCTCAATTCGTGCGGGGACCACGGGATAAAGGAAAGCCTTGTGTCATGTATCCTTTTGGCTATATAAGAAAGGCTGAAGGGAGAGTTTGAGGAGAACTTTTTAGCATAGTTTAGTTTTGTTTCTTTCTTGACTCTTTTGATGGCCTGGACCTCAGTGGAATTACTTGAAGATTTTCTCATGAGGCGTGGCTAAATTTGTCTAGTCAAGAACAACGGAGGACTTGGTTCTACTAAATTTGTGAGATCGAATTAGTTTTTATTTATTCCCATTATTCACTGGTAAACATCCACAACTAAGCAACAGAGTTGAAAACACTGAGACCCTATTTGATAATTCAATTCGACATTTAAATTTAATAGAATCAAATCTTAATATATTCAAACCGTTTGATAATAAAAAATTGAACATTTGAATTAATTAGTCGGCACTGAATTTTCTAGACAAAACTTGCTCTCAAAATTAAATGATAAACTATTCACCTATAACTGCATGCAATATGCACTCAGATATATTAGATTTAATACTTAACAATTCAATAACTTAATGGATTCAGACTTTAAATTTATCAAATGCACCCTAACGGTAACATCTAATTGATTCCACGAATCTGTTGCCGTTTACCAATAAACCTTAAATTTATTACTGACCACAATGCACGGATGCATTGGTATTATCAAAGTAGCAGAATTGCACTACCACAAATTTGTCTCAAACTCTTTGCAAGATGTAGATATATATCAAACTTTCACACAAATGACTAGATATCAGTGAAGTTCAAGAATTGAACAAAACAGCATCTATGTTACTCAAACATGACATTCTCATGGATTGAGCACCTCTTTCTTGCCCTTACATTTGCCAAAACATATTGGATTGTTGGTGCCTTTGATCTACTCCTACCAAGGTTGCATACATGTGCTGTACTGTTTCCTTCATAGAACTTCCCTTGGTCTCCAGATATGCTTATTATCTCAACATCTGGAAGTACACCATGTCCAAAAATTGTGAAGATTGCAGCCAATGTACCTGACTATTTGGTCACCGTTACTGTGATAGGATGTCAGATGCAAGCCGATGGTAATACTGATTCATATAAAAGATACTGAGATCAATAATCAAAATTCCAACTTCAGGTATATGAAAATACATGCTAAAAAAAAAAAAAAAAGATACATGACACAAAATGCAGTACTGCAAATAAAAACAAGGTAGATATTCCAAGTTTAGAATAAATCTGCTAGCTGCTTAATTATTTGCAACAGTAGTGGCTATGGATGATGAAAATGAATCTCTAGATGCTTATCTGTGAACTGAAAGTATGTACCTTTCTCCATTTAAAGACTCTAGTCATCTAAGATATAAACTTCAAAGCCATCATTTCCCATGTCCTGCTGTTCTTCAAAAATTTGCTGGGCTGAACTAGTGGCCTTGTGGCACCAGTACACCCGCATTATCCTCAAGGTAGGTATGTCTCCAAAAATCGATAGAATCTCCTCAAGGCCTTTACAATTTATCAGAACAAGTCGTTGTAGGCTGGGAAAGGGCTCACTGCAGGCATTCCACTTTTCAATCTGCACTTCCAATAATTGTAAGAACTTGAGCTTTATGAATTCCCCATCTTCCATATCCCATTTTAGGTCCAAAAAGGCAGATTTCCGTAGTTTGAGAACCTCAAGATTTGGTAGCTGCCCTATTGCTGATATTGCATCCCTTGTAAGGCAAAAGTTTTCTAGAGTCAGCTTTCGAAGAGTGTTTGGAAAACTAAAAGATGGAAACTGGTCATCATTTTCACCAATAAGCATATCCCCACAGTTACAAACATTTAGGGACTCTAGTTGACTTAAACAGCCCAATGCAGGAAACCCAATGGGATCTTCAGAATCCAATTGTATTTCAAAAAAGTTGCACTTAAGCTTTCTAAGTCTTGGTAGTCTTCTCAGTAGCTCCTCTGTGTCTTTCCCTGAAGTAAGAGTTGGTGTTGCAAAAGTCTCTACATTCTGCAATTGACAGGACTCATCATTCTCATAGTCTCTGAAAGACATAGTAGGAATATCTACATGCCTTAAACTTTTCATCTCCCAAATGGTATCTGGCAGAGGAATGCTATAGATCCTTGCACCTTTAACAATCAAAGTTTCCAGATTCCATAATGTTTCAATTGATGATGGAATATAGTTGGTGCAACACCATATTGCTAAGTATCTCAAATGAATCATCAATATTATTTCTTCAGGGAAAAATCATCAACATATATGCACTCCAAATCCAACACGTAAAGAAATTTAAAACCCAAGAAAAAGGATGTCATCTTTGAATGCTGGCACCTTTCTACATGAATACCAGACACCAGTAAAGAGTGGACACCAGGACCTGCAGGTCTTGAATGAATGAATTGTTCCCATTCACTACTGATGCACAAGCGATATTCATCATAAACTTTGGGAATCGGAGAATGATAGGAAACATCATGTCCATGTACCCACTGAAAAAAATTTTCTTCTTTAGCTTTTGCCAAGCAGAAATCGTGAAGTAGATCATGAATACGACAAGCTTTTATTTCTCCTTTGGAACTTGTAGCTGCAGTAGTTACTAGGCTTCGATCAATTAGGTCCATCAAGTACTCCCCTGCCACATCATTTGAGCTCTTTACCTCATCGCTTTTTATGAATCCTTCCGCGATCCACAGCTTCATCAATTTCTGAACTCTAATGATTTTAGCCTCCGGAAAAGCTCCAAAATAAAGAAAGCATGGTCTTAAACGATGCGGTAAATGTTTGTAGCTTAATTCCAGTATGTCCATGCAACCTTCACTAGCAATGTGTGAACCTATACTTTCTTGGACTTGGTTCCACCATTCAAGATCGTTATTTTCTCTTGCAAGGATACCTGCAACCAAAACAACAGCTAGAGGTAGGCCTTTGCAGTTCTTTGCAATCTTCTGTCCGACCTCTAATAAATCCGAGGGGCAGCCATTGTTATTGAATAGCTTCTCTTGTAATAGCTCCCAGCTTTCTTCATCGGAGAGTGGAGAAAGAGGACAAGGACTACTATTTAGTTTAGCTTGCAGAACCAAGTTAGGAATTCGACTAGTGAACATAACTCTGCTTCCATTGTCATCATCCGGAAGTGATCTTTTTATGCTATCCCAAGCTCCAATGTCCCAAATATCATCCATAACAATGAGGAATCTTCGTCCCTTTAAACATTTCTAGAGCCACTCAGCTAGATCTTCTTCTCTTGCTGTTGGTTTAGAGACTCGGACATCAAGACCATTAAGATCGCTTAAGATGTCAAGCAATAGCTCTTTAGTGTTATACATTTGGGAAACAAAACACCAAGCACATCTATTGAAGTAATATTTGACAGATGGATCATTATAGACTTTTTTTGCTAAAGTTGTCTTACCTTGACCTGGCATGCCAACAATTGAGACGATATCAAGATGTTTTGATCCTCTTATAAGTCGATCAATTATTGCTTCTGACTCATCCTTGAAACCGACAACAACTTCCTCGATTCTTGAGGTATTAGCCTCTCCAGGAAGGATAAGAGTAGAATCATTTTGAAAACCTGGCAACCTGGTCTTGTACATTTGCTGATCAGTGATCTCCTGGATCTCAGGCTTAATCACTTCTTTTCTTCTATGATATGGGAAAGGCATACCATGTCATACCAGATAGGATTTTCCGAAACTAAACATGAGTTGACAGCATGTTCGGCTTTGTATGCCACATTCATAATTTTTTTGCATAGATCTTCTGTTTCTTTGTGCTCATTTTGCAGCTCCATGATATCCTTGATGATATGCCTTAAGGACTGTAGCTCCTCCAGGATTCTCTCAACTTTGTCCTGTGCAAAAGTAATACTGCTGGCCTTGCATTTCAACATTTTCTTTAGACGTTCCAAAAGGAAATCAATAAATCCAACTCCATTAGTTGTAGGGAAACCAGACACTTACAAACTTGTAATCTGGACAAACTCCCTAACCTCTGCCTTGACCATCTCAATCTTTTCTTTCAAACTAGAAAGGCAAACTTTCTCCTCTGAGGAAATATCTTCTTTGTTTTCATCAGTGTAAAGGGAACAAATAAAAGATATCACCTGTTTAATGACAGCGTCAATTTCTGCCAAAAGTGCATTTCCATCTTCTATTTCAAAGTTTTCTGGTGGATTCATAAGGAATGCTATCAAGAATACGAACCCCTCGCAAAGGATTGCAATGTGAGCCTTCATGGGGGACAGTAGATCTTCTTGAAGCAAATCAACAAGGCTTGTGACAATTTCACTAAGCATAAGTTTTTCATATTGGGATGATTTTGATGCTGTCAGGACCCCAACAAACATCTCTATGACCTTTGGATCGTAAGTCTTATCATCCGACATAGTTGCCAGATTTTCATCATTTGCATCAATCCAGTACATGACTGACAAACATGCTTCTTTGACCACTATGAATTGCGTACTAGTCCAAAATACTTCCAGTTTCTGTTGATCGGTGCATCTTTTTGCAGTGAAGTTGACAACATTCCCTATAAAACACAGCACCTCCAGGTCAGCCTTGATATGCTTCTTCACAGAAGCAGCAATATGATCAGCTTTCCAGTTCAGAAGATCCCTCATATTCCACAAAATCAAGTCAATAAATTCCATAATCTCATCACTCGTGCCACCAGCCATAAATCCCAACGAAGAATCCCACAAAACATCACAGATATCTTTCACCTCTGGCTTCAAATTCTCAATTTTTTCAAGCAAGGTACAAGTCAGAATCTCCACATCTTCGATTTCAGTTTCCAGTACAGCTTGAATCTTCATCATGATAGACTGCATCATGATGTCCTCATTAGCTGATTCCTTGTACTTTCTCAAGCACAAAGAAATCAGTTTCAGGAACCTCAACTCCAAATGAAGATCTGGGATTTTATCCTTTACAGGAGCACTGAAGGCTGGCTGAATATGTAGCCTTTCAAGTGCTCCAAGAAGATAATCAAGACCACCCGATATCTGTTCAGCATCCATTCTTTTTGCTTCTCAGAAGTGTGAGGACTCTGAGCTCTATGCAGAAACTGTATATTTGAGAGACTTTAGAGGGAAAATGGGACAAGTCAATTTTGGGAAGCTGCACGTGTGATGATGTGATAGTGAAGTTGTTATCTCCAAGCCTCCGCCCATCCAAGTCAATCACTACTCCAACAAAAAGCCAATGGGTGTCATTTTAAGGGTAAATTACATATGACCCCGGTGATTTTATATAATGCTAGATGACCTCTTTACAATTTCAAAATAGCCATAAAACTCCCTATAGTTTTAAAAATCATACGCATTCTAAAAAGGCGTATGATAAAATCATAATGACTACTTAATGTCTAATTAAGTCCTTTATGAATTGTATAAATATCCACTTTACCTCTTGTGATTTTGTATTTATCCATATAATCTTCACGTGATTTTAGAAGGTGATCAAGTTGTCAATTGTTTTGGCATTTAAGTAAGGATATTATTGGTATTTCAACTAATGACGTAACATAAATTATTTTTTGTTAAGTTTTTACTTTATATGAAACCAGAGGGGGATGAAGTGTATATTTTGAAATGTTAAGAGAATCATGTGATAATAAATGAAATTACAGTGAGTTTTTAGAGTACAACTTAATTTACTTAATCCACGAGCATGAAAAACTATACAAAATTAGATTATGGAATTATTCCCTTTTATTGTTTTTAAGGAATTTTTGTTTTGTGTTCAAGTTCTGAAAGTTCAACTTTGCACGTGAAGGGTGATGGCTGAAATGAGAAATTTCTATTGCTAATTTTTTGATGTACCTGCTCTATAGAAACCAGAAGTTCACTTGCTACTATTAAATTGCTACATTGAATAATTATTTTGACTTACCTTAAACAGTTGACTAGAATGAAAGAACGAAGAAATCATAGAAATCTGCATTCTGAAAAGCTAATGCTGATTGTCCATATAGAAAAGAAAAAAAAGTAACGTAATATGCCTTCTAAAGTATATATTGTTTTGTTTTTGTATAAGCCCATAGGATATTAGGCTTGGGTAAATGTTGACGTAATGATACCGAACAGGTAACGAAAGGAGTAACTCTTGGCATTGGACCCAATTGGCACTTTTAATGGAAAATTGCAGAAATAGTCCTTCAGATTTGAGATTTGTGCTTTTTTAGTCCCTCACTTGTATATTGACGCGTTTCTGTCCCTTGCAGTTTAGCTTTTCTACTCTTTTAGTTTTTCACTTTTAAAATGAAGAGTTTTGGTCCCTTGCACATATAGGATACACCATTTCAGCCTAAAAATGAATTTTGATAACATTTTCACCTAAAATAAGTAAAACCAACTTGCCAAATTTCATGTGTAAAATCATGACCAATCCACAAAAATTTAGTGCGGGTACCATTTGAAGCTAAATTGGAGTAGGAAACCGCCTTAGTTTTAATGCTATCATGATTCAGACGAGAAGTTTAAATTATTACAAAGAAAAGAAAACATTTTTAAGAACTCTTTAACTTTACACATAATATGCTGTTATGAAGAAAACATATTATTATTTTTGTGCCTGAAATCACCTCCAATAAAATTTTATTACTAAAATTAAACATTCTGCCTTTACCTAGTTTTTTTTTATCTAGAAAATAAAAATAATAATTGATCTTTTTTTAGCAAGGGATTGGTGTGATTTAAGAAACAGGCATAGGGCATGGGGTTTGAATTCAATATCTATAAATCTTGGATTCAAATCTTCAATGAATGAATTTAGGTACATCAATAATATAAATACATACATACATATACATACATATATATATATATATATATATATATATATATATATATATATATTAAGCTTTGGTTCAATTTAGATGAAACTTAGAATTATAAGTGAATATATAACTGGAAATGAGAATTGGGGTGAAAATGATGCCTTTTGGATATGTGAAAGACCAAATTACACCGTTTTAAAAGTGAGTTACTAACAAAGTATAAAACCTCATAAATAAGGGACCAAAATGCATTATTTTAAGGAAAAATCGTTCAAAACGTCACTCAAATTTTACAAGATAACTTTTTTCGTCCCTCACTTTTAAAAGTATAATTTACGTCCCTTACAAATTTACATTAACCAAATTTGGTCCCTACTTAGGTTTTCGATTAGTTTTTGGTCGGAATCCACCCCGTGACTTGCATGTGATCATTTTTTAAGGACAAAATTGGCAAATCAAAATTTTACCTAATTTGATTCATAGTCCCTCACATTTCACAAAATGAATTTTTTCATCCCTAATGTTTTACAAAATGAATTGTTTCGTTCCTCACATTTCAAAAAATGAATTTTTTTATCCCTCACATTTTTCAAAATGAATTTTTTCATCCCTCATTGATCATGTGTATGAATAGCTTTTTTTCTATAAACCCACGTATATGTTTATTTGATTTTACCTGAACAATACGAATAGCATGTAATTTATCTCTATTGGATTTTATCTAAACATGCTAATCATAGTTATACACATGCTATTCAATAGATATATATAGGGATTTTAAACTAATAATTTTATTTGAAACCCATGTATATATTTATATGATTTCACCATTTGAACCTATTCAATATTTGTGACCTTTCTCTTTCGGTAATAATTTATTTATTGAGTTGTATAATAAGGTCATCTAATTAATGGGCCCTAACTTGAATTCTATAATTGTGCTAATAAATTTCAGTTTAAATTTGAATTTCTACTTGACACTTTTAAGACTAATAGTTGAATTACTTGTCTTGTGATTGTCTTAAAATTTGAAAGTGCCAATCAATTATTTATTTTTGTCATACTTTTCTTTTGTTTATTTTTTCTGTCCAAATTTAATTCGAGAGAAACACTCAATAATATTTAGGATTAAATGTCTTCTTTATTTTCAAATTTTGAGTAAAAGAAAATCAATATAAGTGAAAAACTAACAATTTTTTTAAACCCATATATATATATATATATATCTATTTGATTTCACTTGAACAGTACGAATAGCATCTAATATATCTCTATTTGATTTCACATGCTATTCGCACTGTTCAGGTGAAATCAAATAGATATATACATGGATTTAAAAAAAATTATTCACACACATGATTAATAAAAGATGAAAAAATTCATTTTGAAAAATGTGAAGGATGAAAAAATTCATTTTGTGAAATATAAGGGATGAAAAAATTTATTTTATGAAATGTGAGGGATTATGAATCGAATTATATTAAATTTGATTTGATAATTTTGTCCTTAAAATATGATCGCTTGCAAGGCACGTGGTGAATTCCGACAAAAAACTAGTTGGAAACCTAAGTAGGAACCAAATTTGACCAATGCGAATTTGTAAGTAAAATTATATTTTTAAAAGTGAGGGATGAAAAAAGTTATTTTACAAAATATGAGGGACGTTTTGAACGATTTTTTCTTATTTTAAAAGTGAAGGACTAAAAAATACAAAACCCAACTCTCAAGGGATACTTTTATGGTTTTTCAAAATTTAATTTTGCTGCAATTATATTTTAAATTAACGGAGGCACCCTCAACCAGTCAAAGATTGACTTCACATTGAAAAGGATTAATGTGTCATTTGAAAAGAATATTTCTCCGGTATTAAAATATGGATTGTGACACTCTTTAAAAAAAAAAAAAAAGGATTGAGACATTAAAGTCACCCAGCTTTTAGTGTTTCACTTCTTTGTCAGTGTTAACATAATATTTTCATCGGTATTGTTGCTAAAAATATTTTGGCAAATTGTGTTGGTGAATTGTAAGAGGACCTTCCATAATTTCATTCTTTATGGTAAATGATGTTGGTCAATTACAAGAGTGCCCTCCTATTGGAAATTGCCAT